ATGTCTGTCAATACATTCCATCCGCGTACCCCCCGGAGGCCCCGTAGACAGTATACTCTACCGAGCACCCCAAACAGCCCCCCTGCTCGGTACGAAATACTATCTACGAAATCCCCGACACGACTATCATTGCCAGACAAAACGGCAGACAGAAAAACCAAAACCCCTAAGGGGGGGGGGGGGGTACGTAGGTGTGCGGAGAAACTTTCTTGATGTTTGCTCAACAATTCTGGATTATTTTTCTGCAGGCAACAAAGAAAAATCAAGACAGAAAACAACTAATTGAGAGCGCAGATTAAGCGCCTTCTTGCTCCCAACGTTTCTCATCGGACAAACCCGTTAGTAACCTGCCTAGGTTGCCCAACTATTCACCTTTTTGTTTTCGGCCTCTGGCCTAAACAAATCTTACTCCATTAGGCATGTCCGATGCTCTATCCCTCCGTATTCCGTACAAGGAACCGACAGGCCATGAGGGCAAACGGCGTATCCCCTACACCCAATCTCTCCCATCCCTCTCACAGAGCGACGGTCTCCAACACGCGCACGCACGGATCAGTCCTCGAAGCGATCCACAACCTTCTGTCTGTGCGATCTGTTGATACCCCGGCCCGATGGTCCGGAAATGGGTTCGTGATCCGACTTTCCCTCTGCGCTCGTGCTGGCCTGGGCGTCCTTCCCTTGTGCACCTGATCTTGTCTCATATAGTACACGCAGCATAACAGTGGGAACACAACTTCGAGGGTCCCCTCATAAGTCGCAAGATAGACACGCATGCTGTTGAATAGCCCCGGGGTGATTGACGGGGTAAGAGGATTGGTCGTCCAACCCATCTCTTCTTCCCCCGGCAATACCTTCCATCAAGATGTGACAAATCAGTGAGTGATGGTCGTGCGTGTCCACCGCTCCATCTCCTCACTGTCTCGTTGTATTTGACATATCCTTTTAGTTCAGCGGGCGAAACAAGGTGATGTCCACCCACCCTATTTTTCGAACCATCCATCAATTCAGATGTTCTCAGACACGGACTATAATGTTCCAAACCGAGTCGTCCGGACTTTCTTTCGGCAACTTCTTTTGAAGGATAGTACCGAGCAACGCTCGACCCCTCTTCCCAATATCTTGCTGTTTCCACCCTGAGTCCTTCGTAAGTTTGTCGACGTTGACGGCGATCTCGTGTTTTTTCCAACGTGAGATCCCATTTGCGAGAGTGTTCCTTTGACCAGGTATGTGCTTTGCCACGTGGCGCCAACCGCAGGCGATTTCCATCCTTCCCATGAGTCTCATTATGAGGCTCGCTCGCCTGTCGCGAGATCCGCCGCACCTATTAGTCCAACTGACGGCCGGCACGCTATCCCCACGCATCAACACCGACTGCCTTGTTCTACGGGCCTGTAGTTTAAGATCATTTGAACTACCCACGCCGTCATGAACATGCCGATCAGTTCTAACAGATTGATCGTTATGTCCGACGTTTCCCTCGCCTGTGCCTTGCGCTTGAGATCCGTCGATGAGGTCGGTTCAAGTGTGTATCTCCAGAGAGTCTTCAGTTCAGGGCAGTAGCCAACAATCGCTGTGAAGCTCGCGTCTGAGAGATAGAGGCGAGATGGAGTGCGCTTAACGTGGAGTAAGAACGATGCGCTGAGGGACTCCCCTCGAAGTGCCAGAGGCTGG